GATCTTGTGTAATGTATTTGTAAGCTTTAAAATTGATATAAAGTGAAATTATGTGTAGTTTATCTCTTCGTAGGTTATCCTGCGTACATTAGTTCTCTTGAAAAAAGCCGTTAATAACCGTTAAAACAGTTACAGTTGCTAGAACTTTCATTAGTTCTATTTTCAGCTTTCATTTCATTTGTAATTGTAGTTGAAAACCGTTAAATTCATCAAAACTCTTTATATTACATGTACTTTATACTGTTAAAAGTCACAACAACTCGTGAGTTGAACACTTCGATCCTGTGTAAATCCTCTCTCATGGAGTTCATCTCTCATTTACAACATTAAAACTATTGAAATTACTTAAAAGTTTTAGTCAGACTCACATTTTCTCTTGTGCAAAGTGTTAACAAGTGGCAGTTATAAGATCGCTGAAAACATGTTAACAGTCTCATGTTGTAATTTGTTTCGTCTAGCAATACTCGCCATATATATATTTTTAATGGATACAGTAGTTCCTAAATCACTGGCCGTATCTTGATTTATTAAAAATGTATAGATAATCATTACCTTATGCTAGTAGAATGTACTGGAATAATTTTTGCTCATATTTACTAGATGTAGTATTAGGTAAAAGAAAGTTTTTTTGTAGGTGAAAAACATTCTCTCCACCGAGAACCGTCTTTTATAAAATACATTGAACTCTTTTATGAATTATTAATTGTTTTCCAGAATTATAGTGAATTGTTTTTCAAGAGCAAAAGAATATTTTTTGTCATTCGTCAGGTAATGGACCAGGACAAACAGTTTTTCCCTATCTGTCAAACAAAACAATATTTCTCCATTGTTTTGAAGTAATGGGCCGGCACATACAAATTTGATGAGAGTAAGACACATGTGCAACATCTGGGTATCTCCCTCAACCTAGGAGTAGGTGCTGTTCGCACCTACTCCTAGGTTGAGGGACTGATTACCTCATCTTCTGTACATAGTTCTACTGTCTTCAAGTTATGTCCTGGAATTTGTATTGATAAAGCCACTGGATGGCGAAACGTCTACAATAAAGATACCCAGATGTTGCACATGTCTTACTCTCATCTTGTCGGTATTATATACCATTCGTACACACATACAAATTTTCCTGTCTGGAAGAAAAACAATAAAATTTCAACCATTCTTTTAGATAAGGGATTGGCAAAAGCAATTTATTCTATCTTTGCTGCTATATTACTGTCATTTTCTTGCGGTTTTCTCAAGATTAATGAAGCATTTCCAGTGGTAGTAGAGTGAGCCAGAAAAATATATTAGCTAGTGAGATAGAGTGTTGTAATCAATCATGTGGTGTCGTGCCCAGTCTGGGTATGAGTGCTGCTGGCGACGCCCCAGGAGTGGTGGGCGTCGATCTGTTAGTTGTGAACAGTGTGTTAGTGGGCCACACCTGCACTAAGTAGCCTCGTGCCCTCAACAACACTGTCCCGATCATTGCTGTTGTTACTCTCGTTCTCAGGAAAAACATAACAGTTCTCAGGAAAAAACACGTGCCACGTGACTTTGATATATGATGATCCGTTTAGCCAGAAACAGCCGCTGTTGTGCGCTGTTTCAGAAGCTGGTGCCAGCCACGTGCAGCCGCTATTGTGTGCTGATACAGAAGCTGGTGCCAGCCACGTGCAGCCGCTGTTGTGTGCTGTTTCAGAAGCTGGTGCCAGCCACATGCAGCCGCTGTTGTACGTTGATACAGAAGCTGGTGCCAGCCACATGCAGCCGCTGTTGTGCACTGTTACAGAAGCTGGTGCCAACCACGTGCAGCTGGTGCCAGCCACGTGCAGCCGCTGTTGTGCACTGTTACAGAAGCTGGTGCCAGCCACGTGCAGCTGGTGCCAGCCACGTGCAGCTGGTGCCAGCCACGTGCAGCTGGTGCCAGCCACATGCAGCTGGTGCCAGCCACGTGCTATAATGTTAATTTCTGCTTCACCCGTCATGTAATATATTTTGTTTAATCTACACACTTTTCAGTAGATTATTTTTATAATGTCTTAATTGTTATGTCATTGTTTGTGATGGTAAGATTGAAACTTGAGTTAAGTTGTGAGTTACACAGCAGTTACTTGGTGATTATTGCTCGATTATTAAAGGTTGCGCATGACCTACTTTCTCATAATACACCTGATAATATTATATTATTGTGGTGTATCCAGGAAGCAACAACCCAGGTTTTAACAACCCAGGTTTTAACAACCCAGGTTTTAACAACCCAGGTTTTAACAACCCAGGTTTTAACAACCCAGGTTTTAACAACCCAGGTTTTAATAACCCAGGTTTTAACAACCCAGGTTTTAACAATCCAGGTTTTAACAACCCAGGTTTTAACAACCCAGGTTTTAATAACCCAGGTTTTAACAACCCAGGTTTTAACAACCCAGGTTTTAACAACCCAGGTTTTAACAACCCAGGTTTTAATAACCCAGGTTTTAACAACCCAGGTTTTAACAATCCAGGTTTTAACAACCCAGGTTTTAACAACCCAGGTTTTAATAACCCAGGTTTTAACAACCCAGGTTTTAACAACCCAGGTTTTAATAACCCAGGTTTTAACAACCCAGGTTTTAATAACCCAGGTTTTAATAACCCAGGTTTTAACAACCCAGGTTTTAATAACCCAGGTTTTAACAACCCAGGTTTTAACAACCCAGGTTTTAACAACCCAGGTTTTAACAACCCAGGTTTTAATAACCCAGGTTTTAACAACCCAGGTTTTAACAACCCAGGTTTTAACAACCCAGGTTTTAACAACCCAGGTTTTAATAACCCAGGTTTTAACAACCCAGGTTTTAACAACCCAGGTTTTAACAACCCAGGTTTTAACAACCCAGGTTTTAATAACCCAGGTTTTAACAACCCAGGTTTTAACAACCCAGGTTTTAATAACCCAGGTTTTAACAACCCAGGTTTTAACAACCCAGGTTTTAACAACCAGGTTTTAACAACCCAGGTTTTAACAACCCAGGTTTTAATAACCCAGGTTTTAACAACCCAGGTTTTAACAACCCAGGTTTTAATAACCCAGGTTTTAACAACCCAGGTTTTAATAACCCAGGTTTTAATAACCCAGGTTTTAACAACCCAGGTTTTAATAACCCAGGTTTTAACAACCCAGGTTTTAATAACCCAGGTTTTAACAACCCAGGTTTTAACAACCCAGGTTTTAACAACCCAGGTTTTAACAACCCAGGTTTTAATAACCCAGGTTTTAATAACCCAGGTTTTAATAACCCAGGTTTTAACAACCCAGGTTTTAACAACCCAGGTTTTAAACAACCCAGGTTTTAATAACCCAGGTTTTAATAACCCAGGTTTTAACAACCCAGGTTTTAACAACCCAGGTTTTAACAACCCAGGTTTTAACAACCCAGGTTTTAATAACCCAGGTTTTAATAACCCAGGTTTTAACAACCCAGGTTTTAACAACCCAGGTTTTAACAACCCAGGTTTTAACAACCCAGGTTTTAATAACCCAGGTTTTAATAACCCAGGTTTTAACAACCCAGGTTTTAACAACCCAGGTTTTAACAACCCAGGTTTTAACAACCCAGGTTTTAACAACCCAGGTTTTAATAACCCAGGTTTTAACAACCCAGGTTTTAACAACCCAGGTTTTAACAACCCAGGTTTTAATAACCCAGGTTTTAATAACCCAGGTTTTAACAACCCAGGTTTTTAACAACCCAGGTTTTAACAACCCAGGTTTTAACAACCCAGGTTTTAACAACCCAGGTTTTAATAACCCAGGTTTTAACAACCCAGGTTTTAACAACCCAGGTTTTAACAACCCAGGTTTTAACAACCCAGGTTTTAACAACCCAGGTTTTAACAACCCAGGTTTTAACAACCCAGGTTTTAACAACCCAGGTTTTAACAGTCTTGGATCTAAGAATATCATCTGAGTTAAAATATTTTATATAGTAGTTGACATTATGGGTACAGTGGTGGTGGTGGTGGTGGTGGTGGTGGTGGTGGTGGTGGTGGTGGTGGTGGTGGCGGCGGCGGTGGCGGCGGTGGCGGCGGCGGTGGCGGCGGCGGTGGCGGCGGTGGCGGCGGCGGTGGCGGCGGCGGTGGCGGTGGCGGCGGCGGCGGTGGCGGTGGCGGCGGTGGCGGTGGCGGCGGCGGCGGTGGTTGCCGACATCTTAATAAGGAATCGTTCAGGACCCTGTACACCGTGTACGTTAGGTCCATATTGGAGTATGCGGCACCAGTTTGGAACCCACACCTAGCCAAGCACGTGAAGAAACTAGAGAAAGTGCAAAGACTAGTCCCAGAGCTAAGAGGTATGTCCTACGAGGAGAGGTTAAGGGAAATCAACCTGACGACACTGGAGGACAAAAGAGATAGGGGGGACATGATAACGACATATAAAATACTGAGAGGAATTCACAAGGTGGACAAAGACAAAAGGTTGCAGAGATGTGACACAGCAACAAGGGGACACAGTTGGAAGTTGAATACACAGATGAATCACAGAGATGTTAGGAAGTATTTCTTCAGTCATAGAGTAGTCAGGAAGTGGAATAGTTTGGGAGGCAGGATCCATACATAGCTTTAATCAGAGGTATGATAAAGCTCATGGTTCAGGGAGAGTGACCCAGTAGCGACTAGTGAAGAAGCGGGGCCAGGAGCTATGAGTCGACCACTGCAACCACAACTAGGTAAGAACTTGGTGAGTACACACACACACACACACACACACACACACACACACACACACACACACACACACACACACTAAAATATAGAGTGAACGTCAGAATATTCATTACTTTGGTCAAGTATTTATGCAAACCTGCAAATAAACTGCTGCAGGTATTGCCACATAGTATTTATTGAAGCTTTATTTGATAGCATTTAATATATAACATTTTGCGCACATGTCATCATTTATGTGCAGAATTTTCTGAGATATTAACATTGTTGTTGTGTAGTGTTGATTTCCTGTTGTTAATAAGTATTGTTTGTGTTGGCAG